TATTGTATTTACAGGGGCCGGGGAGATAGCTCAGTAGAATAAGTGCTTGCTTGGCAAGCGCAAGGACCTGAGTTCAATCCCTGGTTCCTCAACAATTTATTGTATTTAAAAATTCACTATATAATCAGAAAAATATAACTCCTAAAAATATAAATTAATTAAGCTTCTAAAAACTCTTTTTAAATGGAGTAATATGAAAATTTAAATAAGTATACCAAAGACTTAAATTAGTATGTCAGAAGATTAGTAAAAAATTTGTAATTTTCAATTCAGCTCTTCTTTGCCTTTCCTATTATTCACTGTTACAAGCCCGTTAACCATAAAACAGTATGAAACCGAGAAATGTAAGTGCAAATTTCTAAAGTTACAATCATTTGAGAGAAAATGTACTAAACTATTCACTAAAGATCTGGAAATGCATTCTCTATCGTTACTTCTATCCCCGGCTAACAGGAGTCATTGCATACAGTCTACTCTGGCCAAGAAGCACAACCTTTATTTTTGTTTTTGTTTCAGACAGGGTCTCCCTATGTAGTTCAGACTGGCCTTGAACTTATTGTGTAGTCCAGGCTGGCCTTGAAATCACAGAAATCCTCCCACTGGGATTACAGGCCGGAACCACCATACCTAGCAAGAACCATAATCTTTGGGGTTTTTGTATTTTAGGGAAGGGTCTACAGGGTGTTCAGGGTCTCAGTACTAGATCAGACTTGTAGTGATCCGCCTGTTTAAAGCCTCCCAAGAACTTGGATTACAGGCACACATGCCACCACTCCCAGTCTCAACTGCCATCTCAGTTTGCCCTGGGGGCCAGGGCTGACACAGCAGGCCCAGGGATTGAATCCCCGGTCTCCGCATCTGCTTACAGGTGCTTTAATCCGCTGAGCTATTTGACCAGACCAAGATCCATAATCTTGGATGACCTTGAAAAGTGTAATAATTCACAAAGCCTGAAAAAACACTGAACCTTGGGAGTAAGGTGGGTAAATCCCATTTTCATTTATATTTGAAAATAATCTTTTTCAAAAAAATTAAAAAAGAAGATAATCTTTTTCTTAGACTATCAGTAAAAAGTATAAATAAGGAAATTCTTAAAGCTTTTGTACTATTCACACTTGTGCCTAAAAATTACATGTAAATGTTACTACTTAAGGTTTTTCTTTCTCCCATTTAGAGTCAGGCAGGCACTAGTTTTAAAAATGTTACAGAATTGTAGCCATGAAGCACAAGAGTAACAAACCTGAAAAGTCCCATAATGGTCCCAACCTTCTCTTGATGAGATGACATTTAACTTCCCCAAGGTTGGGAGTGCCAAATATGTAAATTGATGACCTTGTGGATGTACAAGGTACCAATGAACTGGTTCCCTGCTCTAAGTCTCACCAGACTCCAGAATTAATGCTCCAGCCTGGGTCCCAGCTCAAGGGTGCTCATCCTCAAGAGAAAGATCAGTGACAGCAAGTTATGCCATATATATGTTAGCAAAGGCATCCAAAAGATTCTGATGACAGGTTTATGCCAAGGCTGGTGACATATGCCTGTAATCCCAGAACCTGGGGAGCTGAGGCAAGGATGGCTGTAAATTGGAGGGCAGTCTATGCTATATAGTAAGCTTAAAGCCAGCCAGCCAGCCAGCCAGCCAGCCAGCCACACACACACACACACACACACACACACATATCAAAAACAAATCCCACAATAATGACAAGAAAACCAAAAAATAGGTTTATCAGTTTAGGAAACATACAAGTGTTGCTAGTCTGGCTGCTCCTCCCAAAATAAAATGTATCAGGACCTTTTAGACTTAAGGGAAATTTGAGTTGTGAACTTTCACAGATACAAACAAACCTTGTATTTTTTTAATGCTTTACATTATATATTGTGTCAAAAGTGTGTAAGACTTCTTTTGTCAGACTCACAAATGAATCTAACTTACTAATGTTCCCCCTGTATGGAACTTGTTCATAAGCAGAAGACCTACTGTAAATAAAAATTACACAAATCTTCTATTAATTATTTTATTTTTCTACCCACATTTTTTGAACAGCAAATCACTAAGTTTATGAATAGTAAACAGTGTCCTACCACTGCCATCAATAAAAAATAAGATATAGTCTAAGTCTGAAGTGACGGTACATGCCTATGATCCCAGCACACTGGGAAGCTGAGGCAGGAGATCACCAATTTGAGCATAGCCTGGGCAATTCAGCAACTTAGTGAGACACTGTCTGATGAATACATGCATGAATTAATGAATTAATTAACGTGAGGGGGCTGTGGATGTAACTCAGTTTAAAAGAAGCTGGGTTCCACTGCCAATTTTAAAAAAAGTGGTACCCCCAAACTGTTTTAGATTCCTGAATCATAATCCTCTTAAATTCACTTCATTGTCAGTTTTATAAAATTAGAATGTCAAACTTTGAAACCCAAAGCATAAAAATGGCTTTATTTTTTACTTATTTTTTTAAGTAATCTAACTCTGTCCCCAAGTTTTCTCCCTAAGAACTCATCATGGAAATACATGCATTGAACTGTGGGGCAACGAGCTTTGCTGTCTGTTGTTTACTGAGGTAACTGGAAGGCAGCTCAGCGCAGACATCTGGAACCAGACTGCACATATCTGTACTAGGATTCCGCCCGTGTGAGCTGCACAACTTGATCTTGGCCATTCTTTTCTTTTCTTTTCTTTTCTTTTTTCAGTACTTGCAATTGAATCCAGAGCCTTCAATACTGAGCCACATCCCTGGCTTTTTGAAATTTTTTCTATTTTGAGACAGTCTCATATTCGATCCCCAGCATGCCATGCCAGCCCCACCCCCAGGGCATGCTGAGACAGGGATTGAGACTGGGTATGGCGGCATGTGCCTGTAATCCCAGTGCTTGGGAAGCTAAAAACAGGAAAATCACTATGAGGCTGTGTAGTGAGACCCTCTAGACCCTGTCCTAAATACATTAAAACAACAACAACAACAACAAAAAGACAGTCTCACTACCTTGTCCAAGGAGGCTCAAATTTATGATCTGACCTCAGCTTCCCAGTATGCTATGATTGTAGGTAGGTAGCACTACACATAGTTGAGTTTCATTTACCTGTAACAGTGCCCATCAAACAGGGTGATCCTGAGTATGATAGCCCATGTAATACACAAGGCCAGCCCAGCACAACACACAGTGCACAAATTAGGCCATAATGGAGTAATGACAATCCCTAGGTGTAGGGCTGGGGAGATGGCTCAGTGGAATAAGCACTTCCCTGGCAAGCACAAGGGCCTGAGTTCAATCCTTGGTTCCGCAAAAAAAGAAAAAAAAGAAAAAGAAAAATATCCCTAGGTGTCAAAACCTCACAAAAAACAGACATAATACAAATGTTTTGGGTATAAAACCCCATTGTTGTCTTTTTCCTCAGTCAGGGTTTTTTTCTTTCTTTCCTTTTTTTTTTTTTTTTTTTTATAGTACCAGAAACCGAACTCAGGACTTTGCACTTCCAAGGCAGACACTTATCCCTCTGAGCTATCTCCCCAGCCCAATAATGCAAATGTTTTCACAAGATCATTCTATCAGGATGCAGAAGGACCTTGTGGTGAAAAACACTGGCCCTAAGCTTGGATAACTGTACTGCTGATTTTGGCCATTCTATTGAAAGGAGCAGTTAATGCTTAGAATTTTTTTCTTTCTTCTCCTTTTTAATTTCTTATAACTTTTTTTTTAACCAAGTTTTCATGTTTGCATCTGGTAAACTAAACAATTAACCTGAACACAACATTATGCAATATAAAAATTGTTGAATTCATATTATTTTGTTTAGTGAAATTCTGCATTTCTAGTGTTTTATTACTTTTATTCTCTTTTAAAAATCAAAATAAAGGAAAAAAAAAAAAAAAAAAAAAAAAAAAAAAAAAAAAAAAAAAAAACAGCCCACACTGCCTAGGAAGGCAATCTCTTTATTTTGACCTTGAGTCACACTACTTGTGGGCTTAATTTTTTTTTCCCTAGAAAAAGAAAACTGCCCAAAAGCAGTGGTTATATTTTTTCTGTTTGTCTGTCTGTTTATTTATTTTTTGAGGTGAGGCTTTGCTATGTAGTTCAGGATGGCCTTGAACTCACAGTGATCCTGCTGCCTCAGACTCTTGAATGCTGGGATTATAAGCATGCGCCACCATGCCTAGCCTGTCGTATTTCTTCTTTAAAACTTTTTTTTTTAAATTACAAGAGAAATCTATACTTAGAAATGTTTCAAGAAATATAGGTAAATGAAGATACAGTAAAAGTTAAATCTCCCCTTCTTGACTTCCCCTTTCCCCATAGTACCATCTGGAAAGGCTATAGAAAGTATTTAAGCAAAACCCTAAGAGCCCCATCCCACCTCCGACACTGCACCAAAATACCACCCTCATTCAAAGTGGCTGTGCTCCTGTCCTTTTCCTTTTCCCTCTCCTCTCCTCTCCTCTCTTCACCTCGCTTGCCTCGCCTCGCTTCTTTCTTTCTTTCTTTCTTTCTTTCAATTCTTTTTGAGACCATGTCTCGCTATGCAGTTCAGGTTGGCCTTGAGCTCACTTTACAGCCCAGGCTGCTATAAAACACCCAACGATCCTGTCTCAGCCTCCCGAGTGCTAGGATAACAGGCATATGCTACCCCGTCTGGCCTTCTACGTATCTTTAAAAACTAGATTTCATAGGTTTTGAAGCAAGGGTTATACTACTAAAGTGAAGTTTGAGTTGGGTGTGATGGTGCACACCTGTAATCCTAGCCGAGGCAAGAGGGTCACCATGACTTCTAGGCCAGCCTGGGCTTCATAGCCAGGTTGTAATACATGGTGAGACGCTGTTTCAAAAACAATAAATAAATAATCTAAATAAAATGGAGTTTGAAAGCTATAGAATTAAATTATAAAAATATCCACCTCTAAAACTATATATTCCTAGCCTACTAAACAAAGTCCTCATTTTTCCTATTACATTTGTCTCAGTTTTCCATAAGACTTCCCTTGATTTTACCTTACCTCTAGCTCAAGATCCTGAGGTTCCATTTCAGAAAGTGATAGCACAGCAATTTTGGTAATTTTACAGACTTCATGATCTCCTGGGAGCTTGCCCACAGAAGCTTTCTGCCGAATTAGAATAAGCCACCATGGAAGATCTATAAGAGAAAACACATATTAATATCTGGCATTTAGAGTATCGCTGCCTGCTAAGTTGAAGGTAAACACCTAACAATACCAAATTATGTATTAGATATGTCTTTTTTGTTATTGTTGCCAGAGTTTACCAGACATTTTTATTTCCAGTATTTAACTGGGTATGTACACAATATGGTTAATACACACATATGGTGCTATATTTATCATTATTTTATTTGATTCAGTTGTTTTTATTTTTTACTAATACTGTGGATTGAATCCAGAATCTCATGCATATTCAAGCAAGTACTCTACCACTGAGCTAGCCTTCCACCCCTCATTGTTCTTTTTTGAGGAGTTGTTATTTTTATTTACTTAAAGACTATTTAAGTGTATAAATTTATACGGTATGGTGTGATAATTGAGCACATACATACAAGTTTTACTTGTTTTCCCATTGCTGGGACAAAATACAACCTGGTACTTAAATGGGGAGAAGTTTATTTTGACTCCTGCCTTCAGAGGGTTCTCTCTGTAGTCACTGGACCCAAGGTAGAAACAGCACACTTGAAGAGAAAGGAATTCAACATATTGCAGGCAAGAAGCACAGAGAGATGAAGAAGAGAGTGCCTGCGGAACATAACATACTCTTCCAGGTCAGACCTCCAGGGACCCACCTCCACCCAGATCCCATCCCCTAATAGCATATTCAGCTATGAATTCATCAATGAATTAATCTATTGATCAATATCAAGCCTCCATGATCCAATCACCTTCCAAAAGTCTCACCTCTGAACATATGAGCACACTGGGGTAATAATATTTTAGATCTAAACCATAGCAGGTAACTTTTGTCTTTCATTGTTGTTGTTATTTCACATCTATTTTATTAGTGCATACTGGTTTTACAGATTAATGAGTTTCATATAGGAAGAGTCATACACATCCAGATCATATTTTGATCATTTCACATACCCCTGGTTTCCCACTGAGAGCAGGTTTTCAAAGCATATGCTTTTTTCACATCCATTCCTTTTGCTTTCACCATTTCAGAGTATACTCTTACTCATAGAAAAAATTCTACTATAATACATTACACTACCAGGTTATATTGCCATAGCCTCATATACTCCATGTTTACTGCATCTCTTGATTGAGCAAGAGGTCCCATGAAGTGATTGACCTTTATCAGCTAGGTTTGTGTACACACATTAAATAATGTTCTGAAAATGATATTACCTAACATTCTGTTTCTTAGGATGTATCCCATTTGTTCATCAATATGTCTGTATTTTAATATATTAAGATAAATTATTAAATCAAAAAACAAAAGAACCATGCAATCATTCACCCTTATCAATGATTTCACTTAGTTTTACTTTAGTTCAATTTTGGACCAAAACAATTAAACAACAAATTCCAGAAATAAACTAAGTTTTAAATTGCATGTCATGGGCTGGAGAGATAGCTCAGTGGACTAAGTGCCTGCCTAGCAAGCAAGAGTTCGATCGATCCCGGTTATAAAAACAAAAAAAAATTGCGTGTCATTCTGGGCAGTGCAATGACATTTTATGTTATCCCTCTGTTACATACAGTAGATGAAGCACTTCACTGTTCATCATATCTAAGCTGTATATGTTATCTACCTGTTAGTCATTTGGTACCCATCTGGGTTATAAGATTAAGACAGTATCACAATGTTTGTGTTCAAGTAACCCTTACATAGTGGCCTAAAGCTATTCATTATTGTCACAATCCCAACATCATTCATCTCACTTCATTTTGTGATGTAGGCACTGTATCATTTCTTATCATCATAAAAATGATGAGTACATTTTTAAGATATTTTGAGAAAGAGAAGAGGGAGAGGAAGAGAGAAAGAACACATTCACCTCTTATTAAGTCTATTACTATATTTGTTATGTTTCATTATTGGTGTTCATCTCTTACTGCACCTAAATTATAAATTAAATTTTACTGGATATGATGATACATGCCTATAATCCCAGTACCCGAAAGGCTGAAGGGGAGTATCACCACGAGTTCAAGGTCAGCCTGAGCTACATAGTGAGCTCAAAGCCAGCCTAAATTACATAGTAAGACTATGTCTAAAAAAATTGTTTTAAAACATATAAATTAAGTTTTTTTTTTAAACATTTATTTGTTTGTGTGTGTGTGTGTGTGGCCAGCTCAGCCCACCAGGGGTGGGCTCATACACATAGTGAGATCCTGTAGACCCTGTACTAAATCTTAGGGGGCCATTGCAGTGTATATGGTCCACTATTGATGAAAACACCATTATATAGCAAATAAGCTATATATAGTGTTCAGTATTATTTATAATTTCAGCCATCTACTAGGGGCCTTAGAACATGTCCTCCGCTGATAAGAGAGGCATAGTGTATCTACATTGTGCTACTCTAATTATAAGAAAGAAGATACCCCCCCATACACACAGAGAGAGGAGAGATAAACCAGAAATTAATGGGATAGGTGAGATAAAAAAGAGAAAAATGGTAGTGGGACAGAAAGGATGAAAGACAATGACAGCTCCAAGTATACCTAAAAAATGGTCACTGAATATAGTTCTGACTCTTAAAACAAGCTCAGTGGCACAGCATCTGCCTGGCAAGTACAAGGTCCTAAGCTCAATTCCCAATAGCAAAAAAAAAAAAAAAAAAAAAAAACCCTATGGTAAATAAAACTATGTAATTGAATCAGTAGAACAAAATTGAGAAGCCAGACACAGACCCATGCAAGTACAAGCACCTAATAAATGATGATAGGGATGGGGAGAGATCACGTGCTGATAAATAGTGTTGAAATAATTAGTTCTTTATATAAGGGGAAAAAAACTTACTACACACCATACTCAACAATTAATTATAGGGTTGGGGAGATAGTTTAGTAGCTTAAGCACCTGCCTGGCAAGCACAAGGTTTCTGAGTTCAATCCCTGGTACCAAAAACAGAAACAATTAATTATAGATAGGCTAACTGCTACAAATATAAACAGAGCAAGCCAAAGTATTAGTAGAACATATGGATTTCTTTATAACCTTATAGGAGATGGACACTGGAGGCATGATATATAATTCAGAAGTCATAAAATGGACAACTATGATTACATGAAAATTAAACATCTGAATAGTAAATGACATTGTAAAAAAATTTAAAAATAGAGTCAGGTGTGGTAGTACATGCCTGTAATCCCAGCACTCGGGGCTGAGGCAGGAGGATCACTGCAACTTTGAGACCACTCTGGCTACAAAGTGAGCTCAAGGCCAGTCTGAACTACATAGCAAGGTCCCGTCTCAAAAAGACAAAATAATAATAATAATAGGAAATTACTTTCAAAACATGTACCATATTAAAATCAGTATCTATAAAGATATAAAGATTACATCAGTAAGATGATCAATAAAGGAAAAGATATGATTCTACAGTCCATGGGAGTACACACAATAAGCACAAAAATATATAATTAAGCTTGGTAATAATAAAAAAATAGGAATTAGGGGGCCAGGGAGATGGCTCAGTAGAATAAGTGCTTGCCTGGCAAGAGCAAGGGTCTGAGTTCAATCCCCAGTTCTGCCAAAAAAAAAAAAAAAAAAAAAAGGAGGGGAATTAAAATAGGAAAATCACTTTTTCTCTATTGGGTTGGCAGACAGTGATGAGAACATAATGCTCAGTGTCAGCAAGCTTCAGCATTTACAGCCGCCCACTCGGCTGTTGCAGAGACTACCTGCCAACACTCATCAAGATTCCCACTGTTGATACCCTTTACTCTATCTGTTCCTCTCTCCAGAATTATTTGGAGGTTGAATATGTAGATTTACAATAAGTAAATTTTGAAATCAAATAAGTAATTTTTAAAAGATATAACAGGATTAGCTGGGAGTAGTGGCATGGTCTAGGGGGCTGAGCAGGAGGATGGAAAGTACAAAGACCAACCCAAGCAATTTAGCAACTTAGTGAGATTTTTGTCTCCAAATAAAATGAAATTTGAGAAGGCTGGAGATGTAGCTCAGTGTGAAGGTTCTGAGTTCAATATCCAGTATCACCAAGAAAAAAGAAAGTAAAAGAGGATAGGAAAGAAAAGATATAGTAAGATTATAGTCATACTAAGGAAAACAACTTTTCATTTTTAAAGATACATTCTGAAAATATATGGATAAATATACTCAGTGTCAACTTTGAAATAATTTTAGCAGCTGGGAGTGTGGAAAACATAGATGACATGGAGGAAAAATGACTCTCGAAAGCTTATTTCTATCCAGATCTACTCATACAGATTGCATTAGATTGGTATAACCTACTGAGGTTTTTCTGCTTTTGGGATTTTTGTTTAGTTTTGCTGTTTTTTGTCTTTCTGAGACAGAGTGTCACTATGCAGTTCAGGCTAGCCTTGAATTCATTTTGTGGTCCAGGTTGACCTCAAACTTACTGTGATCCTCTGGCCTCAGCTCCCCACATTCTGGGATCACATGCATGCACCACCACACCTGGCTAGCTCCTCAGTATTTTAATCTATAGTTTCTTTCCATAGTGATTTTATCTCACACACTGACCCAAAACAAAAAGAAAGAAAACTGCACAGAAGATATGAGTACACAGTTCAGGGAAAAATAAACACAAACAGATGTAAAGATGCTAAGACTTGGGTATAACAAGTGAAATGCATATTAAAACTATACTGAGACACCACAGTTTACACAGTACTATAAATAAACACAAAAATGGTATGGTACATAGGAAACAGACATTATTGGTAGGAACATAAACTGGCAAAAAGGAGGAGATAAATAACCAAAATCATGTTTCTGCCCTTAGAATAATTCTGGTCATGGTCATTTACACTAAAGATTTCAGGGAAGCCACATATGTACAAAGTTATTTCTGATTGCATTATATGTAATAGGACAAAATTGAAAGTGGCACAAACTATAAATTATTAAAAGTAAATTACAGTATTTCTGTACAATAAAATATCATGGAGATATTTTTTGAAAACACTGAAG